CAACATGTTGGCATACAATTGGCTTAGCAATTATCTCACTAAGTTAATGATACATAATTACCACAGTCTAGTATTTATGGACTATTCAGTCCTGGAGAGACAATTTCCCACTGACATGACTGATGACAAAAATATATGTTCACATCTTGTTTACATTTGAGTGAGTTCAGCAGGTGGGCTTACAGATGCTCCTGCAGGAAGTGAGGTCATCCCTTGGTACCTCACACAATTGGGTCTGATTCGTCTCTGGCTGTATACATAGTAAAGTAAGACAACAGATAGGGTATCTCTGTAGAGAGTTGCAAAGTCCATCGAAAGAATAAACACCGAACCGGTTACAAACATACAACCACACCCTGGTTATCCCCGGTGTCTGCGGTGCCCACTTGTGTATGTGTAATCAGTGGAGGAATTTGCAGTGATCTGCTGATATCTACAGGTAATGATTCATACCTGCGGCATGAACGTGGGCTGGTAGAGATAGAGATTTCAGACACATAACTGAATGTACAGTACAGTAAATCGGCTCGTATTCGTAACCCCTCCCAAACCCAGACATTTTTAACTACATCGCCTTAGAGGGTTCCCACATCTCTGGCCTAGTTGGGAGGGGGGCATTTTCGACAACAGGAGATTTTAGATTTAGAACATCTCTGGTGAAGTCGAGGAACAGCAAGGACTTCAATCGACCGAACAGCCAACTAGTCTAGTACCATATATATTGTCAACAATGCAAGTCCGTCTGTCTCAAAATGTGTGACAGAAAAGAAACAAATGCTGCATTCACCAGAACGATCGACCGCTTGGGACAGAAACATGGCGGCGAGTTGCCCCAGACGCAAAATTCGCGTGCGAAAAGCACGATTTATATCTATTCACACTCACCTTTTCACAAAATCACTCCCTCTGTATACTTCCAGGTACTTCTTCCTTCTTCAGTATCAAACACAGGGATTAGCTCCAACGACAACAATGACTAGACACCCATATTCATCGGTACCACAGCGTTCATGTACAGCCGGCTGACCGACGTGTGTATCGACTTTCAGGCAGCCTACCGCACACCGATCTGCGCCTGCATCCAACTACACGATAAAATCTCCCGCTTTGTCTCAATCCCACCACACAACACAACCCAGGATGAGACAAAACGCTTCCTTACTTTTTCCCTGAACCTACGGGAGATTCTCAAAGCCGATGAAATGAAGTTTAAAGTCCTGGAATGGAAGTTTAGCGCACAGCCGCTGGCGAACGGATGCTGCTGGTTTTATGCAAATTTTGAATTTCCGAAGGGCATGTGACGCTTTCGGACGCTACCATTCCATAGGGGTGGTCAAGGTCTTTAAATTTCTTACATAGGCAACAATACGACGGACATGGGGATTCATGATTCAGGAAAATAGGCCAAATTGGAAAAATGAAATTTCAAAAGATATGAATGACTGCACTTGACCACAACAATTATCAAACATGGGTCCAAAATGAATATAGCAGGCCAGCTGCAAGTACTTTGGCTTCCTGACTCCTCTGGCAAATTTAGACCCCAGAGGATTCTGGAGGAGATTAAACCATGATGAGGCATTATGTAATGCAAAAACGTCACACGTCAACGGCTTCTATGCCATAAAGGGTTGTCTTTTCTCTAGACTGATCACCCTTCTGTCTTTTTGGGGAAGGAATTCAAAGAGCAAAATATTCTAATGTTAATCCTCACCTAAACTTTCACGCATCAGAGATAGAAGATCATAGAACAGGAAATGTACAATCAAACACACAAATCTGTTGATTTCAAATGACCTCAGTCTTTAATATCATAAAACAGCTCTTTATTTGATCATACATATTGCACATAGACAAATTACAGTATAAATTTCCAAAAATATCACTGTCAAATTTTTACACCAACAATTCAAATACTTCTTCAGTAAAATGTAAACTTTTCACTAGTTTTGTTTACATTGAGTGAAACATGTTTTGGAAATCCACATCACAAAAAACTACAATATACACATTTCTGAAACACTAACTACATGTACATACTACAGATATGACAGACAGCTTTTAATCATTGATATGTAACTTATGAACCATTTTGATATAACAACTATGATACAAAACAACAATGGAAGTTAAGTAATTGCATAGGTAAAAAATATGTAACTTTTGGTTTACCTTCATTTCAAAGAAGGGTGACTGAATACACTTACTTCAGAAGCAATGATAGGAACAGGAATGATTAATATAGTAAAGTCCACACAATTATGTATAGAACATTTTTGCAGAATATCTCTTTTAAGACCACATTTGCCTATTACAGGACAACTTAAAATGATACTAAGACACTGGCTCTTTAAAACACATTGGCTAACATCTAGCTTTGGTGAGGCATAAATAATTCATTTTCTAGTGCACTTCATGTCCTAGAAAAAAACAAATGTTAATGATAAATATTCAGCTCCTTACATTCTTACAAAATGAACACTCTGTAAATTCATCTTGGTAAGCTGCATATAATGCCCTGTAGGATTGCAAATACATTTTCAATATCATTATGGACTATTCAGTCCTGGCGAGACAATTTCCCACTGACATGACTGATGACAAAAAATATATGTTCACATCTTGTTTACATTTGAGTGAGTTCAGCAGGTGGTAAAATAGTAAGAAGAAGGTGAGAATGAAATCTGTAAATAGTAAGATTTGAACTCTTAAAAACTTTCTCACATCAATTTACATGACTTAATTGCGAAGACCATCCCACCTGTCATTGCAAGCAAAGAATCTGAATTTACAAAACAGTCAATAGCAATGACACTTTATTGTATCATTAATTGGGAAGGTAACACTGAGCATAAAATATTTTTGCTTTAGTCTGCCTGATACTTGATACTACCTACACTGCAGTGCATCAGGAAATAGTCATACCCAGGTCTATTTATTTGCTTCATTGATCGAGCACACATGCATAGTATGATTAGGAAAAGCAATTAAGTAGTGATATGTTTTCTGATATTTACAAAGCTTGATATGTTTTCTAATATTGCAAGTACACATGACAACATATTTGGCACCAGAAAAGCACAGGCAGACTTCTAATAAAGATAATGCTTAAAAAATGCAGCTTTCTGTAGTTTCAAAGGAAGCCAGAGTTTCTGACTGAAGATTCATCATCGTACAGAGGGTTGTCAAAACTAGCAATGCTGTAGGCTGGAGCCAGCTCCGCAGGGTTGCTGAGTGACCAGCTCTCCCTCCACTCAGGATTGGATTTTCCTTTGCTGAATGGAAGAAAAGTCAAACACATTTTTATGGTAAGTGCAACTATATTTGTGCATGAATATCTCTACCCAAGCAAGTACCCCCGGTAAGTCCTTAATTTTCTCAAACACAATGGAAAGTGGTTTTCCTTTACATATACTAAATATGTACAGATTTCATTCTCACCTTCTTCTATTCCACACATAGACAACACCCAAGAGAAGAACAATGGCTGCTAGGCTGCAACAAATACCAATGGCTGCCTTTACCCCAGGAGACAAACCTGTAAATTATAAAAAAAATATTAAATATCATCTGGCAATGGTTATGAATTAAAGTTACGAACTTACAAAAACTACACACTTGCGAGTTACGTCAAAGTTAGCACAGAGCCTGACGTGTTTCTGACCTTGAGGTTTTCTTCGTGTTACTGGCAGACAGTTGTATGTGCATGGCTCCACACTGTATGTTTGTTCCCCAACAGTCAGGTAGGCTGCCTTGTCCACAAACGTCTCATAACCCAGTCTGAAGGACTCCAGCTGTTCGGCAGTGACTGCTTGTAGGGTGGCATTCAGGATTGTACTTCCACATATGATCTCGGCATCTAACCAAGAACAGTTGAATTATCATAAGACATGAATGATAATAGCAGGCTGAAGTCATATTTTTTCATTTATCATAATCTGTAATCATGCATGCTTCTATTCAGCACAGTACAAGAAGAAATAAAGAAGTAAAATGTATTTTGTAAAAGGGTGCAAAGCACACATATTCTTCACATCCATTATCTGTCACTTGTAAAGGCAATTCTTAAACATTCTAAAACTTCCTCTCACCGGCAATGTAGGCCACAGTAAATCCACACTGACAACGAGTCTCCACTCCACTGGCCACAACTCTCTTCAGCTCCTCAAACAAAGTGAGGTTCCTCTTGAAGACAGTGCAGTTGGCATTAACCAGTTTGACCTGGATGGTTGTGGAGTGTTGCTTGCTGGGGCAGATGTTAACTTTGCCTGGTGAAGATGGTGACAGAACATACATGCCGTTTTCTCTTGTGCTGGAGCAGCACTGGCAGCGACTCAGGGAGTCATCATTGTCCAAGTAGCTGAAAAAGACCATTCAAATTGTCTATGTTGTTTAACTCTGTACATATATACAGTATAGCTGGGAAAACCTGCAAGAGTCCTCAGAAATAAAGGGTTAGAAGTTACAAAGAAGAATTTACATGTGCAGTTAACACATTGTAATCTTAACATGGTAACTTAATATTTATCAACTGTAAAATACAGAACATTGAAAAAATAAATGTGTGAAAATGTGCCTTTCTTTCCGCACTCATGGTCATGTTTCTATGATTGTCCTTTCCTCATACACCTGTCATTGGCAATAAAAGAATCCATACCAAGGCTAATCCAACATCATAACAGCTCTTTTCTGCAGTGACAGTCATTCTCTCACCTGTACTCCTCCACCAGAATGTCCTGCCCAGGTGTGAGTGTGTCCAGAAGTCTCTGGCTGGTGACTCCCCTGTTGGTGGTGTAGACTACTGCATCCAGGAGGTTTCTATCTGTCACGTTTGTCCTCATTGGGAAGTGTGCCTTGATTCCATAGTATAGACCAATACCATTGGCTAGCTCCTGTTTACAACATTTATAGAATGTCATGTAGTAACACATGTATAATGTAGATAACTTGTTATCAGCTATTGTCAGAATTATCCAAAAGAAGTTAGAGTGCAACTTTCATTTTCATTTGTTGTCATCTAATATTCCAGCCTATGAAATTCATTTTGTCTTTAGGCTTTTCTGGAAAATGTTCAATACACTCTTTTCCTTTAAGGGAATTCGATTGCATATAAGAACATGAGTAAAATTCAACAATGTGCAGACAGGTTCCCTCTTTTAAATCCGACCACTGTTGCAGGATTTTAGGCATTAAAGAAACAAACAGAAAGGTAGTCATTTGGTCAAATCTGACAATAGTTTTGCATTACCTTTATTACTCCTCCTTGTCTGGAAGGCAATGGAACATCAGGAGGAGGGGTCCTGTTGGGGTGACCAATGAGGAAGTAGCCATCTGAATCTGTTGTTCCATGAAGTTCAAGTGTAAGATATGACCTGCCATCTATGCCACTGAAGAAAACCAACAACAAGCCGCTAACATTGGCATTTGCATCTCCTCTGAGTTCTACAAATTCTGCATCATCCTTGTTCTTCATATCAACGTTGATCTCATTGATGACCAGGGTGGGCAGGTCTGAAGGTATGGGTGACACACAGTCATTGGGCTCCCCTGGGGTGGGGATAGTAAGTCTGAAGGAGGCAGCATGAAGTGGGGCACAGCATCGACAACGACTTATACTCTCATCTCCGTCTTGGAATTCCTGATCCTCCTGAATCAGGTGTTGTCCTGGTAACAGAACCTGCAGGAGGTGATCCCCCGGCTCATCAGTTCTACCGTACACGACTGCATCAATCATGTTCTCTGCTGTGACAGGTGTCCGGTAAGGGAAGTGGGAGGCGTATCCTCGGTAGAGAGCCATCGCATCAGGGCCATTCTGTATGAACCCCACATGCTGGATGATAGTTATGTCTCTGTTGGGCACATCTGGCCCACCAATTACAAAGTAACCATTCTCGTCGGTTCTGTGGTTGCGCAGGTCGATGGTGTTGTAGGACGTTCCCCCAGAATCACCGTTGTACAGGACCAGGACAACGCCGTCCAGAGGGGTGTAGGATCTTCCTGGTGAGTAAAGCTCCACAAACTCTGCCCTGTCCAAGCCTTGCTCGTCTGCGTTGATCTCATTTATTACAATGTTGGGGAGTGTGCAGTTATTCTTTGAGCCTGTGTGAAGAGACGAGAGCAATTTGAACTATTCCTGGTCTGCTCAGGGACAGAATGACCAAGGCACTGAGATCAAAGGCAATGTTCCAAGAAGTTGTGAAAAATTTGATGACCATACAAAATCTACATACAGGTATGTTCATAATATTACCTGACTGATAACACAACACCAAGTACCTACCAGGTGAAGGTGTGCCGAGTACAAAGGCATACAGGTCCACTGTGTTGTTGGACAGACATCTGGAGATGGTCTCATCTCTGTTTAAATGTCTGCTGTCTTCCTGGATCTTTGTCTGTCCAGGAGCCAGAATGTCCAGTAGATACCTACGAAATGCACCATCCTGATTAAGAACCTGCAAGCTATGGGGGTAACTGCTTGTGCAACTTCATACATTTCTATTTTCTGTAGCATTGACAGCAAAACTATCCAGTTTAAGACACCAAATCTGTGTATTTTCCAGGCTTGTGGACTGATATATTCTAACATAGTCTGCAGAAAAGTTGTTACTGTGCCTTGAGATTCATCAGAAGATAGATGGTGATTCAATACATACATATGTATATTTTCCTGTTTGTCAGCAACACTACTCTGCGTTCTGGGTAGCCTCAGCTGTAGGCTATGCTGCATTTGAACCCAAAAATTAAAAGGTAACAAGTCACACACACAATCCTGACCTGGCATCTGCCTCTCCACTTCCATACACGACCACGTCCACCAGACCCTGTGTGGTAGGTGCTGAGCCAGTGGGAAAGTTACCGACTGGGGCAAAGTACAGACCAACTGCATCTGGACCATTCTGGATGAAGTTGAAGTCTATGATGATGTCTGGAGTCGGTGAAACTCTGCTGCTGCCAACAGTGAAATATCCCCACTGGTTTGTTCTGTTTTGAAGAAAAGAAGTGGACTTGATGTGTAACCAAGAAATACTGTAACACTGTAGATTTTTTTTTTCTGATGAGAAAAGTATCTAATGAATCATGCATGCATGAAAAACATGATGACAAACCTATGTCCTGTGAGGTCTACTGTCTCATACGACACCCCTGATTCTCCATTGTAGAACACCAGAGAATATCCATCCAGTGAGGAACTTCCAGCTCCAAGGTCAAACAGTTCCAGGAACTCCTGGACATCAGCTCTGGGCGAGTCTGCATTCAATTCATTGATGATGATTTGGGGAGCATTCGGAGGCAGTGTGGGCCATGCAACAGTTCCTGCATTAGTTGTCGCAGGTGCAGCAGAGGGGGTATTTGAGAGATTTGTAGTGGTTGGATACATGGTGGTAGTTGTACTTGTAGTAGGTTGGATAGCATTGCTCGTAATCGTTGAGTTGACAGTAGTACTGGCTGTTGGAGTCATTGGTTGGACAGTAGCATTTGTACCACTTGGGTGTATGGTGGTACTTGTAGTAGGTTGGTAGTTGCTGGTACTTGTGGAGGTTGAGTTGTTGGCAGTACTGGGAATTGGACTAGTTTGGTTGGTAGTACTTGCAGTAGCTGGGAGAGTGGTAGCATTGGTAGTGCTAGGTGATGCTGTGCTAGTTTCACTGAAGGGCAGGACTGCTGTTGTGGCATTAGTTACTGTTGGGAGAGAGCAGTTGTTGGTCACACCTGCATGTATGAAGTGAATAGGAAATATTCTTCATCACATTTTGTTTCCTCAAACTATGTAGACTCTGATCACACAGAGATGGCCAAGTTACAACTTATTTTCCCTCCAAAAACAGCAGCAAATCAATAGCGTGCATCTCTCTAACAGGATAATTGATCTTCTCCTTGGTGCTGACTTAGTTGTTGTGAAAGAACAGACATCAAATGGACCTTAGGGCAATAGGACTATCAGCCTTTAGTCCCTATAAAAAGAAAAACTACATGTACCAAAGGATCCACCATGATTAAAATCTAAACCTTTAGCATGCCACATTAATTATGAACCACTGGAGTTATGAAAGGGTCAGCTCTAAAGCACAGAGCCTCCTAGCTGCTGAGCAGCTATTTGCAGTTTAAGGAGACAACATCATGTGAACAAGTTACATCTAAACCAGAATCACACTTACATGGTCTTGTCCAAGGTTCTGTTGCTACAGGAGAGCCAGTTGGAGATGAGCGTGAGGCTGTACAGTTATTTGCCATGTGTGGAGTGGGAGGGGCCAGACTGAAGGATGTCGAGTTGAGCCTTACACAACAGCTTCCTTCACACCTGCTGATACTGAAGACACCTGCTGAGGAAACTGGCACATCCAGCTGAGGTTGACCTGGAAAGGGTCAAGATTACTGTATAAGCACATCTCCTTTTCCTATACAAGCAGTCTCCTTTTCTTTATATCTATGATACATATGAAGGAAAGAATAGTATCTTGCAACTGTCTAATCCTAATGCTCTGGATGCAGCCCCCACAATGGGTGCAAACAGAACTAATGCCCTAAGAACCACAAGGCTCAAAAGAGGATTAAAAAAATACTGTAAATAAAATACTGTTAATGTCCTTAGATTCATGTTCAAAGTACTGAAAGAGTAAGGCTGATAATAATGGTAATGAAATCCATAATAAAAGTTATGGGCTGCAAGTTACAGCAAAAGGCATCAACATTTTACCTGGAGTGAGCACATCTAGTAGCCCTTGTGCAGGCTGGTCCTGAGTACCATAGACCACAGCATCAACCAGACTGGTGCTGGTGGCTGTCATACCAACTGGCATGGTGCCCACATGATCATGCAGGGCCACTGCACCAGAACCATGCTGAATGAAACCAGCAGTACTGGCAGGACCTTCTTCTTGGTCTGGAGCTAGAAAAGTCAAACAGTGGTCATTTAAACATTTAAGTTAAACATCAGCCTTGTCTAAGGTTCATGGTCTACCTTTTACACACTTGCCGGTACAAATTTTATGTTACAAAATCAATGTGCTTAATGACTGGTCCAGGTCAATCACATTTTACCTTCCTTTCTTTTTTGAATAGCTATTTGCACTTTTTAACTTTCCTATACATACAGTTCTTTTGACTTGTATCACAGGAAAGTGTAAGTCTCTTTGAAAATTAAACATGTATCTGACATTGTATGTATTACTAACTACTTGTATGTCAAGCTCCTGGGAAGACCAAAATGCCTGTACCTTCTGGCACAACCATCTGAGGAGTTGGGCTGAGAGCTGTTGTCCCAATCACAAAGTATCCCAGGTTGTCTGTAGTGTAACCCAGCAGACTGAAGGACTTGTACACAGTCCCATCATGACTTCCATACAGGAAAACTACTACACCATCTGTTACAGTGTTACAGTGGGATATAGAGGCATTGTTAGTATCCATTAATCAGCTTGAGATCATTAGATAAAAATACTGGTACTGATGACAGAAACTTTTCGACGGATTCAGGACAAAATGGATCTACTGATTAAACAAATCAGGCTGCAGTTCAAATTGCAATGAAACTTAATATCATATCATAAATCAGCTGTGCTTTTTATGAGATAATGTAATGGGCAGACTGGCCCTGCAGTATTGCCAATGGCAGAAAGGGGTCTCTCCAGCACCAGCTAATGCAATGAAATAAAACCTTACCTAGTGGAGTGTTGCCTACTCCTCCATCCCACAACTCTATGAAGTCCTGACTTCCTGTGCTGTTGTTGGTATCAATGTTAACTTCATTGATGATCAAGGTCAAGTTGTCAGGAAAGGAGCAGAAGTTCACATCCATGGGAGTTGAGCAGACTGACACATACACCGCACTTCAGGAGAGGAACAACAGCATCATGGTAAGGGTGATGGGGAGGGGGGGACAATCTTTACATCATATGATCTATGCACATCATACAATCTATGTACATACTGACTGACAGGACAGTATCAAATACAGGCTAGCAGCCCTTAAAATGTTGAGAAGACTTTGTTTGAAGATATTTGTCAGATTTTGATGTACATTTGCAGGCCATCCTCACTACTGTATCAGGCACATATTTCTAATAGGCAGTTTAGGAGCCAACTGATTTTATTCTGGATGTTGGTAATGTGAACAACACTCACCTATTCCCTCCACCACACCTTGAGATGGCCCTGCCGTTCCTATGCCATGGAAGATTCACGACCACTTGGTTCCTCCCAGGTGTTAAAACATCTGTCAGGTTGTGAAGGGAAGTGTTGTGATCTGAGCTGTACACCAGAGCATCGATTAGGCTGGCATTTGTCACCAAGGTACCACGTAGGAAACTCGTCCTCCGACCCTGATACAGCGCTACTGCATTTGGACCATTCTGTAAGGAGCAGACATAATGTAGGACTTGAAATACCACCTGCACACAGAGATTAGTGCAGGTGTATTAGGCATTTCTGCGGTTTACCTGCATATAAAGTGCACCAGTTCTTTATTGGATATAAATATGTATATGTGGATAATGGATATATATTTGCTGTATGAAACTATACTACCCAGACATGCTAAAATAAAGAATTGAAATGTATTCTCTAATAGTTCTCAGTCTAATCTATATCTACTCATCCAGCAGAGTAGTGCAGGTATAGTTTGTCTAGTGTTGGTAATTTTGCACATTACCTGCACCATAGCAGGTATGCAGAAAAAAGCACGTCAAGCCCTATATAAAAGGATTGTACAAACTTCCATATTGTCATCAACCTTAAAGTGTAGACAGGCTTTCAATGTCCTTGACCCAATTGTGCAGGCAGCCATTTTCCTAACAAGCAGACTAGAGTAAATGGACTTCCCTGGCACACTTGAATACTTGAATATTGCATCATGATTGCCCTTGTTTTCAAGACTGAAATATCGACTACTGTACTGAATATTTATGATGTGCTTTATGTACAATATCCCTGGTAAAGATGCATGCTGTTATATCCATCTTCATGTCAAGTATCTACGATGAAAATCTAATTGGTATCTCATATATTAATGAAGTATCTGTGTTACCAATACCCTAGAATCTAACACTACTGGATTTATGCAAACACATTGACATACATAATTTCCTACATAATAAAATGACTGCAGCAATCAAATGGAAAATCTAAAGTTTCTCCTGATGTAATGTGATTGTGGACAATGCAAAGGGTGAGTTGTCATTATTCATCCTGAATCATCACACTTCAATAAAGGAACAGATTTTGCTGTGAGTCAGCAATGTGTAAATTCAATTAGTATAGCTTGTCTTTGTTATTGTTCCTGGGCTTCATTGGTTTGCTACACTGTTTAGCTAGTGTCTGCACTAACAATAACTTGTACTTCTACGACTTTGTAAAAAGGTGTGTATGTGTAGAAATAAACAATAAACCACATTCTTTACCTTGATGAAGCCAGAGGCAGGTGGCTGCACTGTGAAGTCAGGCTGTGGAGTCATTCCTGTGCTCCCAATCAGGTAGAAGCCATTCTCATCTGTCCTGGCCTTATCTATTCCAATAGACTTGTACGACAAGCCATCAGCACTATAAAACACCACCACTATGCTCTGTAATGGGAAGTAAGGTCTCCCCTGGCTGGATATCTCAATGTACTCTGTGTTCTCAGGGAGGAGCTTTAACTCGTTGATAACCAGAGGAGGAAAAGGGCAGCTGTTTGGTGCTGCAGGTGTGGGAATGGCACCAGGTGTAAAGGACACCAGGCTGAAGTGGTGCTGGGAAAAGCAGCGGGCAATGGTGTCAACAGTATTTCCTGAAACGGGAAAAGTTGGCATACTGATTGGGACAGAGTTAACGCAGCTCAACATTTTATACCATCTATGGGGCAAAGTGATGCATCATCAAACGAGATCACAGGATTTCTGTGCTATTGTAGTCACTGCTTTTCTGCATATAGTGCTCAAAAGACTAAATATACAGAAAGATAGAAGAACAAGGGTGATCTGGACCAGTGTTATCCTAGTAGAATTCATTATTTTCACTCCAGTTTGCTCTAGTCCTCACTCCCCTCTACAGATAGGGAATGCAAGTAGCCTTTGAAGTCAACTAGAATTAGGACAGGAGCAGATAAATTACACAGTGCAGCTGTGATTGTGGATCTATCCTACATACTCCTTTGGGTACAACTGCTCATTTGTACTGGGTAAGATGGATGAAACTAATTACAGTTGCAACACTATTCATATGTAAAATTAGCAGTCATTTAACCCCTTAAAGTGGTTGTTGTACTGTACAAGGAACCACAGGGATAAGGTTTGGCCATGAGCCAAACTAGGGGAAGCAAGCTGTGTACAGATGTGTGTGACAGGAGTAATGTTGTTAGTGAAGATGTAATTCAGCACCAAGGACAGGGATGTAATTCAGCACCAAGGACAGGGAAGCACTACAGTGCTGAAGTCTAATGTTAAGAAGCTCTGGAGACTGCTGTCAAAACCAGGGATCAAATGTTCTTCAATACATGGTCGTGGTGCTAGATAAGTATAATGGAGAAAATGTGGTCTGGGATGAATGCCATTCAGCACCAAGGACAGTGATAAAAGTCATACGATGGCACACCATAGATAGACGAGGGTTGGTTAACTAAATCATGCTCAACACATTGAAGTTTCTACATAGTGTGCACAGACCAGAAAGCACAGTAGATGGAGTACAGGAAGCTAAGTTGGCAAGAGATTCAAACTAAAAAGGGAAGGCTTTAGAATATCAATAGGAGGGTGACATATTTATGGAGAAAGCTCACAACACATGGATGTTGATTACGGTAGTCAACAGAAAATACAGACCATTAATTCAAACATACACAAGCCACGTATTAGATTCTTACCTGTATCTGCTGTGATAGCTGGTTGCTCAGGTGTCAAAATGTTCAGAAGTCCATCCACGTCCCTAGTCCCATACACCACAGCATCCACTAGCCCTTCTGTAGTTACATTACTGCCTACATAGAAATCTCCCTGTCTGAATAACAAATAAGAACAAAATAGCTTCTTTCCATGCAAACATTGACAAGGAAGGTTGTGTATCAGCTATTATACCTAATAGACCTTATAACATTCAATATCAGATAGTTTGGATGATAGCAATGAAATTTTACACCTCAGCCGGTGAATTAAGTGTGACATGTTTTGTAGCAATTCATATACATAATCAGAATTGTGTTCATTCCTACTCAATCATTTAGTGTTATTGCTATCATGAGGACAAAACTGTAATAATAGGTCTTGTACCTTTTGCCATGGTAAAGGGCTACAGCACCAGCACTGTTCAGAAACCAAGCTGAACTGTCAATCACTATGTGGGGAGGTGGAGTCACAGCTTGAGAACCAATCAGGAGGTACCCGTTCCTGTCTGTCCTGTTGCCAGTCAGCTCAATACTGTAGTAAGAACTGTTGAGTAAAGCACGACCAGCAATTACCAGCAATACATGCCATATATGAATGCACTAGACTCATAATAATAATTTTTACACAAAATCTAACTTCCTAGGGAATTCCAGAACATTCTTCCTCTCAACAAACATTGAAGGTTTAAAGCACATCCAAATTAGATTATAACCTGTAAGCCAATCCTGGCAAGCAACGTACAATCTGGACGTTCAATTTCTGTTGGTTATGGGACTTTTCTATTGGTCAAAGAAGGGTGAAGAAAATGTACACATACATGTAATATGAAAAGAATGTGTTAAAGCCTGACCTGTTATTGCGTCCACTGTACAGAACCACCACCATGTTGTCTAGTGCCAGGTTACCATGACCACCATCAAACAGTTCCAGCCACTCCCGCCCCACCTGTCCGGCGCTCAGTTCGTTGACACGTACCTCCTGCTGATGTGCTGTTGTACTGTCTACAAACGTCTCGTTTCTGAAGGAGCAGTTCTGGTTAGGAGAACCAGGGCTGGGAACTGCCTGCCCGAAGGAGGAAACATCTCTCCGAGCACAGCAGGAGCATCGGCTCAGGGAGAGGTCCACCTCTCCAGATCCGGGGCTCTCGTTCAGCTGTGGTTGCCCCGGCAACAGAATCCTCAGTAGCTCAGTGTCAACGTCGTCGTCTGTACCGTAAACAACAGCATCGACTAACTTGTTGTTCCTGATGTAGGAACCTTGTGGAAATCCGGAGGCAGAGGAATGGTACAGAGCTATAGCATCCGGGCCATTTTGGATCAAGTTTCTTCTTCCCAAGACAATGTCTGCATTTGGAATGTTTTGAGATCCTATAACAAAGTACCCATAGCTGTTGGTACGGTAGCCTCCCAGGTCTATTGTGTTGTATGCTGTATCCTTCCCTCCATTGTAAAACACCAGTGTTAGCCCATCCAATGACTGGTTCCCCATTCCTGTGTCATACAGCTCAACAAATTCTGTTGTGTCTCTACTGGTCCCTGGCTGGTCAACGTTGATCTCATTGATGATGACACAGGGAAACCCACACTGGTTTGGTGCACCGGGTGTGGGTGTGGTGAGGGTGAAAGCTGACAGTGACACAGCTCGGTAGTTACAGCATCTACTCAGAGACTCGTCCCCTATGGAATGTCCTGGGTCCTCGTGTGCAGCTAGTTGTCCTGGTGCTAAGCTATTGGTCAGTTCCCTGTCATGGCCAGCCTCTTCCCCATAAACCAACACATCTTCAACATTGTCAGTCTGGATGGGCATCCCTTCTGTAAAGTTTCTTCCATCTCTTCTATACAACACAGCAGCACTTATCCCACGATGAAGGAAATGTCCAGCACTACCCAGAGGCAAGTCTGGGGTAGGGATAATCAAACTGGAGCCGATGACAAACAAGCCTTGCTGGTTGGTCCTATAGCTGCTCAAGTCCCATGCTCCATACGCTGTATCTGTTGCCCCATCATACAGAACCAGAACTAGGTTGTCAAGTGATGTGTTCCCTCTCCCACCATCAGTCAACTCTATAAAGTCCAGATTGTTGTCTCCAGGACTGTTTGCATTTACCTCGTTGATAAGAATCTGACTAGTTGTAGGAGCAGCAATCAGAAGAAAACATCCTATGGTATACACAAACAGAGCAGACAGGTTCCCTTGTACCTCCTGCACTGCCATGGTGTTCACCTGGTGAAAGATGAAATGTATATCAGCTTTATTGTAATTGTAAAATTAGAATGAACTTACCATACAAAACCTACATGCAGCAGTTAGACATTACTTTTGATCTGCCTATGCAGCATAATGTAATAAGGAAATGTGGGTCATAGACTCAAACTGTCATGAAAATTTATCATATGGATGAGATGGTTATTGTCCATGTCCATGATGTCATTAAAGAGGTCATAAAATAATAGCTTTTTATACTTTGATTGAATAAATTTGGAGACAAAGCAGAGCCTCACTCTCAGGCATTATTCAATATTAAGGTTATGGATTTGATAGAAGAGCTAACATAATTCCCTATCACAATGATACATACTTATGAAAAATGATCCAATTATGTAGCTTTCAATCAACTTATATCCTCTTTCAAACAATTATGTTCATTGCGTGTAGCAGAAAAGCTGCTGGATTGGATCGTAATTCACTTTAAGCCTCACTTGATCGATAAGCTTGTTTTAATCACTGGTTTTGGGAGATGTGATTTACCTCCAATGCATAAATATGAATTGTAATCATTTTGAGTCTGGGGGTAAATAATACTATCAAATCTGCAGTAGTGACCACCTCTGTATTGGGACAACCTGCTGGCTGCTGCGGCTTTTTTGTATTAACCTAATAGTATGTACTAAAAAGACTGACACTGTTACAAAATCGAATGCTAGAATTAGAATGTGTCTGTAAACCTGATTTTTGTACATGTATCACATATCAAAATGTCATATCAGGCTTCCTTCAGTCAAAATGTCAACCATTCCCAAGGAAAGCCTGTGCAGTAAAAGATGAATTATGCCGTGACTACAAGCACAAAGCCTGCAAATCCCCTGGTAAGACATGAATCTGGAAACATGTGCAACTATAATCCTCTTCTTTACGACATCACATCCTTTTGCTGGTCCTTATCTTTATACTGTGCAGATATCCAAAACAAGAACATGCTGTCACTGTGTTGATTCTAATCCTGTACACGTACATCATAATTCTATATCAAAATTCATCATATCACACTGTGTAAATTTAAGTCTTCTTTTATGGACTGGATACTGATATAAAGCTGAATCCTACAGCTGAAATCCTTGGTGTTTTTAAGACCTTTTTGAAGAAGCTATCAAAGAACTGAAGCATGTGATTTATCATTATTGGAACTTAGTCAAGACAGCGACAAAGTCAGAAAATCAGTCAGGATACGGCTAGAGCTATTCATCATGCCATCTCTCAGCCTGCTTCAGGGAATGATCACCACTGCTTCTTATAGAAGATGTTGTCATTTTTCCTTGCAGCAAGGTATGGAAAGAGTGCTTGGCACAATATGATAAATTGCTACCTGAGGCTGCACAAACTTGACTCAATGGATGCTGTCTTCTGACAAGAGACCACAAAACCTGTTTTGCAATGGGGTGTTTTACTTTTCCTCAGTTTCTTGAAAATTAGGAAACATTTTCTGAATCTGTGTTTTCAAACTAGATCAAAGGACTGTTTTTGATTTATGATAGCTGCAATTTGTTACCATTGATGGTATGAGCATTGTTGTACAGTCAGTTCAATTTGCTGTCAGTGCTTTTCTTGGAAACAGACCAAAATCAGTTGCAATACCATTAGGAATATGTAGATACCAATGTCATACATAAAATCAAGTTTGTATGGCAAACTTCATCTTACAATCTATGATCATGATGATGGAATAATGGGGTGCCCCATGGTTGGTACATCATGTATACAAAGATTTTGCAGGATACACAGCTTTCACAGTTTATTCCATCCTGATGAGAAGAACACAACATCACAACCTGGAGAAAAGTAATAGTAGGCTATGTGCATCAGTATAGCTCGAGGGAGTGAAGCCTGCCATCTCTGATTGCCTAATGCTTTTCACCATCACTTTACCCTCGCTAACCAAATTTGGACACACAAGCAAACACACACAAGGACTGCAGACAAAACCTCCACATGAAGGTAAAAAATCTTGGACAAGCAAGATGTAAGTTACAATCATACATTATGTTGCTCTATATTCCCTTTGACATCTCCTACATTGACTCTGAATGTAGGAAGATTAATATAGTTATTATCTAGTTGGAGACAATTCACCATACGGAACAGGTTGACAGCTCATTCCTAATAACCCAGGTTTCAGGACGCCAGTAAGATGCACTACTGGGGCAGACAAATGGCACACCATTTTTCAATAGTTGTTGCTATTCAACACAGCAGAGCATACTAATAAAAGGTAAATTTGATGCTATGAGCGCTATTTGATACATAATGCATGCGTACATAGTCAGTGGATAAAATCTTGTTAATGGTTTGACTGTATATACAACTGTTACAGTAGATTCTATTGACATAACTTTTATACATGTACCTTTAGGGACCACTGAAGTGCAAAGATGCCGCGAGAAGTATGCCCAAGTGTACAGCACACCTTCCTAATGGAGGGTCCTCCGTGGTGTTACCATGGCAACCCCCATCACTGCTGATCATCTTCATCACTCCATTTGCCGTGAAACTCACCCAGGTGAAAATTGGGTCCCTGAATGGCTTACTTGCTGTAAGCACTCATTTTCTGGCCAGCAGTTCTTGATCATCAATCTAAGCTGCACATCTATGCTCTGCACCTATCAAAGCTGTCAAAAGATGGAACTAAAGGCTTGTACACAATGAATAATGTAGGAATCTAAAAGCTCTGACTTCCTTTTACCTATTCCTCTTTACTAGTACTTGCTCCAACAGCAGCCTAAGATATTTAGTGGCATACCGCATATACGTAGACACATGTTGTGATGTAAGCTTTTATTACTGCTATTAGTATTATGGCTTCATCCCTTGAGAAGTTTTTTGGGAAAGGTTGCCCTCTTGGCCGCAATTTTATAACAGCTGGGAGCTAATGCTATAGCCTGATGTGATTTTCTCTTTGCCAATATGTAAAATGTAACATATGCATTAGTGATCAAACATAAATGTCATTTTCATTAAAGTTAATAAAAAAGTAATTTCAAAGAGTCTCAATTTATTTCAACAAAGTAAATCTTACCCATTAAAATATTGTAACTTCTATTGCCATGATAAAAACACTATCAAAGTCACAATATCACAATTCTAGATTGTTCGTTCACATTGGTAACTCTAGTTTGTTCCTTTACATTGGTAAAAATACTATGTAACTGTAGGTTGTTACTTCACATTGGTAGATGCATGATTGAGTTATATCTGCACAGCTAAGCTGAAACTATCAGACTATGACCTTCCTCATTCCACAGCCTGCATCTCCAACTTTCCTCCCACATTCCCACTGGTAATGAGACTTCCAGGAAATGCTTCAGTGTAATACATAGGAATATGGTCTGGAGGCAATGAAATTCTCTGAGGTGAATATGAAATTTTATATCTGGATCACTCTATTCATCTGAGGTGATGTGGTTTTGGTCTGAGGAGATTGGTACTGGAGACAACTTGCAGCACCACCAAATTCCACAGCCACTTCATAAATGCAGCCTAAGTATGAATTTATGCAAGATTGATGCCATGTAACTTCCTAACACAGAAAATCAATTTCCAGATATGTGTGATGACTGTAATTTGAGAGTCCAGGCCCGTGTAATCAACATTCCATTAGAAAGGAAACGCTATCTGCATCGTAATAATGGAATCTGCTTTGAGACTTTGATATCTGACAAGAATGTTTGCTGTAAATGCAGTAAAATACACCTGTTTACATAATGCAAGCTGGCAAATTGAGGCCTCTTTTCCCAACATGTTAATCTATTGACCTCCAATAAAGAATGCCACATCAGCTTTTAGGCACAATAAAGGACACTGATTTTCTTAACAAGAGTTTGTATTATATTCATAATATAAGCTTAATTGGAAATTCTTCATGCACAAGACAAAAGTATACATATATTCTACATTAACATGGAATATGATCCTACAAGATATACCTAATTCACCATGATAATTATAGTTAAATTAGTGTGAATACCAGGTCAGGCTATACACATATCAGAGGAGTTGATTCAAGCTTAAGGGACACACTGGACCCACATATTTTTATCTATTAATTGTTTGCTTCAGGTACTCAACTTAAATCATTACAAGAAAAGAACCACAACTTGATTCAGTTTTAATAGGCTGAGTGAGACAAACCAATAAGAAGGAATTCAAATAAGAATGCACAGGAAAATGTAGATAAATGTAGCAATAAGAATAAAATAATGAGGTCAGTTAAGTATTATATAAACATTTCCTATCTGTTTGATTATTTGAACTATTGTGTGTGCTCAAAACAAAATGCTACAAATCTTATCATTGAATTCCATATGGTCAAATATACATGGAGGCAAGTTTGATACATTTATTACACATTGTGATTGTCAAACAAATAATATTAATAACCTTCACAATTCCAAACCATACACAAATCATGCCATTCAAGATTTCATTTCTTCTGGACAAAGACAGTGAAAGATAGCTAGGGTAGGAATACTTACCTTGTTGTCTGCAGCGGTGCTGGCTGTACCAGGCACAGTCTACCCATATGTAAACACTTTAACAGGTGTGGCACGTCCTGTACCTTGTCAAGTGAAAGGACTGGGCCCACCTGTTTGCAGATACCTGTGTAACTGCATCATGCATACACCTACTTCCCTATAACTTCTACCATACTTAACTTAGTCACGTTCACACTACCCAGTATTTGTAAAACATGACTCCTGGGAGGAACTAGGCCAGCCAGTAAGATATGGGACAAAAACTTGAATATAATTTGGGATATATTGTTCTTCTCCTGACACTGTGATAAAATGCAACCTGAGCTGCAATTTAGACGATACTTAGTAATGAACAAAGAATTGTATCCGTAGAACTAGAAGACATTCAGAATTTTATTCACCATTATATCTGTGTACGGAATAAAAACACAATTTTTGCATGTGTTTCTGACTGTGTGACTGTTTATGGCTATCCTGCTGGCTGTTATATACATTCGTCCATGCTCAATATGAGAATAACAACCTAGCCTGCCATAGTTGCTATAAAACGCACATAATAAATCCCAACTATAGAACATGGAGCTCAAATCAGGAACAGGTGGTAATTTCATGCCAGCCTTACTTGGACGAGAGTCACATAATAAAGCTTGGGCCCACTGCCTGCCTGTAAATATCACTATTAGACTTCAAGCCTGTCATTTGCTTTATATTGGAGGCAACAGCTTGAATCCCCTTTTCATCAGGAATATTGTCATCACTCCACACATGGCACTGGGAGTGTTCCACTTTTCTGACAGGTGGGGACAGATAGATTTGTGAGAAAAGAAATGCACGGCAGAGTGTATGTCGGTCTCTTGTTTGACATAAAACATATACCAAGCATATTAACCTTATACAATATCGCATTTTTTTAAAAGGGCGTGTAAAGCCTTAATATTATAATAGCTTGACTGTCACAATGGATTCTCTTTTTTTTCTTCTTCTTAGTTATCTGTCTGGTAAAGATAGATAACTAAGGAATAGTAAGAATGACTCACCTGCATATATGACAGAATACCTCTTTTATCAAACAGTCAGCTAATTCTATTATCATATAACAGTCCAATGTCAACAAACTACGAACTGGTTTCACTTCCTGACTGATAACACTGTTTAGTCTACCAATGTGTAAGAGTTGTGCATTTCCTGACAATAAGACAGCTTACATACCCAGAAGACTCATGGCAGACTCTCTGATTCATCTGCCATGCATGTGTTTTCTACATGAACCAATAATTATAAACTACATGTAACACATGTACAATGTACTAGTATGACGAGTGACAATGGTTAAATTAACCATAATTGATCACCAAATGTCAGACCTTAGATTAGTAAGAAAGGATAAATCATTTGACTAATTCTACAACTGCAAGAAAATCATAAAGTGTTCTAGAAAACTTAGAAATTACAACATGGCAATATTTAAAACAAAAGGAAAACGTAAGAAGCCATTAAGTCCTTTCAAAATGTGGATCTCCAATACATAACATGTCGGTTTGACATTTGAGAGGAAAATTTGATGTGGTCAGCTTTGTGCAAACATGCTGTTACAATATTGGGCCGTGGGTTGATTCACTGACTTGTCTGGGCTGGTTTAAGATAACATCCCTTTACAGCAGACCTCTCGTTATGCTCCAAAGGTTTGATGTTCTCCCTGCCAGAGACAACCTATTGTTAAATGTCACCACATGGATTTTCATTAAAGCTTGCAAGACGCCATTTGAACAACATCTGTTTCAATTAGTGCAAGTTAACTGAAGTCCTGACTCTCAGCAAAAATTAACAGCTTAATTTATAGCTATAAAATAATAAATGTTATGTCATGCAAGAGCACAGCATGCAGTTTGAATACTAATTCCGTGGTCAGCTTTATTCTAGTATATTGAAATACTACTTTCTGACTGATAATGATACTGTGTTCTGATGGGTGCCAGAGTCTCCTCCACAAAATTTACATTGCTTGCAACTAATTATTGTAATTTGCAGTTTAAAAAGCAAGCTGGAGGGGGCTTCTTTTTTATGTCCAGACTCATCTTAATCATGCATCTCCCTGGGTAACTTTCTGAGCTATCTTCAAAATGTTTACTAAAACATAGGTTGATGAAAACATGACCATCATGCAAAATCCTATTGGTATTGCAGGAAGAAATTTAACAAATTCATGATCTCCCTAGACCACCGGAAATGAAGGTTTACTTTATGGTGCCTCCCAAGTGAAATTCTGCGTCTAGACTGTTGGCCAAACCCAGTTACTATGATGGAACTTAAAACCTGGTCACTTATCACTAGAAAGCACATTGCCACACAGGTACACAAGAAAACTGGAAATAATCCAGGCAGATGGAAGTAAGTGTTACTTTCACAATAATTCACCATCACAGCAAAGGCATAACATATAGCAGCATTTTTGCCATAAATGTTATACAGGATGTTCAAGACCATTACATTCAGCCCACAATGGTCACATGCCAAGCTGATTTTCAATGCCAATGTGTGTAACCCATGCATCACTACAACTTTTGAGTTGTTGGAAAGGAGGAAATATTTTTTCTCCAGGCAGAAGTCACTGGTCTAAACTGGATAGATACCTTCACCCTTCATGAGAAATATGCTAAACCTGCAAATAAAAGGTTGATTAAATATTAACTCTAAAATCATTGCACTATTGAGGAAATAAATCCACCAGTCCTTAAATAATGAATGATGGGCCCCAGCAGACCCTGTTTTTGTTGATGCTACTCTTCTGGCCAGTTATTAAATGACAGTGACAGAGTGGTCTAGAGCTAAATGAATGTTTACTAACCCAAAAATTGGTAAGAATAATGATAATATGGTAAATCCATGTCCAAATGCAAATTACAACTAAAACAAATAAATAAATGAATAACATTGTACATGGTGATGGGTTTCGCATAAAGATAAAGACTGAAATAGAAAATTATGTTTGCTGCAAATTCTATATCTAGTAACCTGCAAATGTATAAAATTCCATGATAACAACTGAGTTGCTTTGATAAAACATTAATGTCAGGCTTGTGAATCTGAACTCAACCGGCAGTATCTGCTGAACAATGTGTTATCCAAAACAAATTCAGAAGTCTAGGATTGCTATTCTAGTAATCCAGCTCCAGGTTCAACTATCCCAGCCCTCATTATCCTCACAGACCACTAATGACGCAGCACATCCCTGTAATCTTAGACCTTCATATAAACAAGTCTGGCTGCCTGACAAGATCCAAATTCCATGTATTGATTGAGGTTCACTGGGGAATAGTCCATGTAATTAGAGTGGGCTAAATTGGACAACCGTGGCATTCCTCTTAACCCGGTATTTCTCAATTTGAGGCAAACATATAGTTGAGTGAAATTAGATTTCGCACGAATATCAAAGAAAATTAAACAAACATATCTGGTGAAGATGTTATAGCATTACAATATGGCATTATTTGACATAATTATGAAATTAACTATGTCAGGAAGATAAATCACAAATACGACAAAAAGTAAAAGCTTGAAACATGGTCATATCAGAAAGATGTCATATCATAAAGAACAATTTGATAAAGGCCTTAACAATTTTCTCCATTGCTTAATTGCAGGGGAATTAATGTCCCAAGATAGTGTCAGGAGTAAATTTTGAAAGACATGTTTGTTTACTTCTCATATAACTTTTGAGTACGTCTCCTCTTACCACCCTGTCAATTTTGTCAGTGTTGAAACACTCTAGCTGATAAAGTACCAAAATATCTGGCAAATAATCAGACTTTGATTGCTATGGAAAACATGGACGATCCATATCGCCTTAATGACTGGCTGTTCCACAAATCACCTTGCAGCCAGGGACTACTCTACAGGCTCAGACAGGCCTAACAAATCCAGCAATATCCTCAAAGGTCTGACTGAGAGCTACACACTTCCTCAGTGCTGGAGCAATCAGCCCGACTGTGCCTGCCACCATACATACAAATGACCTATTTTGGAAGTGTAGATGGACATCTGCTCCTTGATGTACCTATAATTGTTCTACTTCAATTAAACACTGGTACTAAGGACAGGAATACATGTATGTGGCATGTAGCTCTATCAAGCCTTATATCAGAGTTCTGTTAGAGTAAGGAGCTGGTAATTAAGGAGCCTTGATTAGAGACAGAGAATTTTTTGTAATAATAAAGACATCATGCCCGTAGCCAGGGGGGGTTCGGGGGGTTCGGAAGAACCCCCCCACAAGGCTCAAAGGTCCACTTGTTGGTCCACTTTTTATGTAAAGGTCCACTTTTTGGTCCACTTTTTATGTAAAGGTCCACTTTTTATGTAAAGGTCCAAGATTTTTCTTGAAAAGATGGACTGGAATCGTAGAAAAACTGCTCCCTTTGTCATTGAATAAAATTTATCTCTGATTTTTTTTCTTGGAAATCCTCTCAAAAATCGCACGAAATGCCATTTTAGGAGGTTCATTTTTCAAAATTTTCC